AGAGAGAGAGAGAGAGAAGGAGAGAGAGGGGGGCAGGAGCGCGAGCTTTGGCGCGGTCCGTCGGGCAACAGAGGGCCGTGCGATTGCAGCAGAGCCTTACACGTTTTTTTTTGTTTCCGCATGTATTCAACATGGGCGCAGCGTGCTTCTCTGGACGTCGTGGTGATTCATGGGTCCCGCGCTGCCACAGTGACCTCGATTGCTGTGACGAGTCTTCCGCGGGGGAAAAATCTCGCGCCAGGGAATGCGAGCGACTCACGACGCTGTCGTAACATCTGCCTCGCCTGGTCTTGGGGGAGGGGCGCCAGCTGGGTGCAACCGCCTGGCATCCGCGGGATGCCAGTCAGGACAGCCGTCGGGGCAACCAACGGACAACCGTCGGCGCAACCGTTGGACCTTCGGGGGGCAACCGCGGGACAACCATCTGGACCACCATCGGGCCCGCGCGCCCGCGGCGTCTGGTCTCTCTTTCTCTCTCTCTCTCTCTCTCTCTCTCTCTCCCACCATTCCTCCCTCTCTTTACGTATGTATATATACATACACATATGCATGTATGTGTCTATGCATGTGTACATGTTCCACAGCGAGTCCTTCGTTTTCCGAGCGGAGGAGGCGCCCGCCGCAAGAGGTGGGCGACGCCGCGTGGCCTGGCCATAGACTCTCCGAGTTCGTCTATCCAGGTGGCTTACGCCATTCCGCCGACCCCAAGAAGGAGTGAGAGCTTGCCACCATCGTGGTTGTTATCGTGTGGCTTGAGGCCCTCCAAAAGCTCTCTTGGGCCGGCTTGAGGCCCTCGTGGGTCCCTCTTGGGCCGTCCAGGGTCCCTCTTGGGCTGTCTTGAGTTTGCCTCGGTGGCCTCTTGAACCACATTGAGGCCTTCTTGGGCGTCTCCTGGGGGCCCCTCGGGGCTTCTTGGGGATCTCTCCGAGTTTGTCTACTCCTTCCGCTGGCCAGCGCTGATAGACGCTAATGAGCGGAAGTGTGCGCTAACAGGGCGCGCCATGTGACACTCGAGGTTCCCGGGCAGATGCCACGTAAGTCTTCCGATCGGACTCCGTCGCATTCTCGCCAGGCAGCGGTGGAAACCGATGATGATACACTGCCATGGCTGGAAGGGCGGGTAATATGTTGAGAGGCGCTGAAACATTCGTCACCCCATCCTCCTCCTCGTCCGCGAAAGTCACGGAAGGTGATCTCGCTCTTTGATCCTGCCTCTGCTGTCCTCTCCTTGGCCCCCTTGACGACCGTCTTGCCTGTGACTGTGCCGATTGTGACCCTCCTGCGACAGCACCTTGGGCATTCCTCACCCAAGGTTCTCGGACCATGCCGTATGCCATCGACTGCTGAGAAGACGGCCACGAACTCGGAACTTGGCTGGACATCATCTGCTGAGGCTGAAACTGTCGACCACGGTGTTGTCCAGGCACGCGAGGAGGGGCCAGACCACGACCGCTGGGCATCTGAGGAGACTGATCGGGCATGCACGTCGAACAGAAACTGGAGGCAAACGAATTGACTCCACCACATATTTCACACAACCAACTGTCTTGCATCCGAGACTGCGACGAATGATGTTGCCTGAGACGAGATGCAGCGGCGGCAACGCGGAGCAACGTGCGGTCGAGAGACCTCTGATGCCGCTCTCGTCTGTGCCACCCTCCGTCGGACGGAATTGCGGCGGGCCGCCAGGGCTGGCGGCTGGCACGCGAGGCCCCTGAATCTGGCGGGGAAGATACAAAATTGCCAGAAACAAAACCAGCCACCAGGAAAGGTCTCCGGTGGCCTGGGCCTTAGGAGGAGGAGGAGGAGGAGGAGGAGGAGGAGGAGGAGGAGGAGGAAGAGGAAGAGGAGGAGGAGGAGGAGGAGGAGGAGGAGGAGAAGGAGGAGGAGGAGGAGGAGGAGGAGGACGTGGAGGACGTGGAGGAGGATGGAAAGATGCTTCGGGTCTGACGAAAGGGGAGGCAATTGGAATTCCAAGGTTGTGCCTTCTTGTGCCCTTCTGCAAATCCTCTTGGAGCCCTGTGTGAGCCCAACTCGGGCCGTCTCGGGACTATCTGAGGCAGTCCGGGGGTGTCCCGGGGATGGGAAAGGGGGGGTGATACAAATGCTGCATGAAGCCAGTTCCGGCGTCGGCTTGACGCATCGGCGCGTCGTGCTGGAGAAGCCAGCTGCGTGCAGCTGATTCGCTCATTCCCACGTCGGGCGCTGACCTGCGCCCCCGAGGGATCCGTTTTCAAGCCTGGCAGGGGCGACTGTTCCACTTGAACCAGGCCCAGCGCTTGAGGAAACATCCATTTCAGAAACCTGCGCTGACCTGCGCTGACCTGCTTAACCTGCGTTGGCCGTCGCGGACCTGCGCCCGTGACATCTCCGGGTCGAGTCCGAAGGCCCTGCGAGGTGTCCCCGGCCCGAGCTGCCTCCCGCAGTTCCGCAGGAGGCCCCCCCCACGGCCTCCAGAGCACCCCGCTAGCTGCGAGGCTGGGGCCGCCCAGGCCCCAGGGGCTCTGAAAAATGCAGCGAACCGCTCGGGACGCCCTGGGCCAGGGACACCTCCCTGGCAACACCTGGCGCTGCTTACCTCCCTCTCCTTCGCCCGACCCAACATGTCGAGTGGGAGATCGACTCCAGGATCGGGTTACCCCCCAAAATGATTTTTTCCCATCGCAGCCACGGCTGATGCGTAGAACTGACGTACATGATGCGTAGATTCGACGAGAAGGTCCATTTTGGGGTAAAACAATGCGGCAGTCGATCCCCCCCCCCCCGCCCTCTCGGGGGCGGCCTGGAGGGCTTCTCCGAAGGGCTTAGGCGACCCCTCCTCCTCCTCCCTCCTCCTCCCTCCTCCCTCCTCCTCCTCCCTCCTCCTCCTCCTCCTCCTCCTCCTCCTCCTCTCCTCTCCTCCTCCTCCTCCTCCTCCTTCCCTCCTCCTCCTCCTCCCTCCTCCTCCTCCTCCTCCTCCTCCTCCTCCTCCTCCTCCTCCTCCTCCTCCTCCTCCTCCCTCCCTCCTCCCTCTCTCCTCCTCCTCCCTCCTCCTCCTCCCTCCTCCTCCTCCTCCTCCTTCTCCTCCTCCTCTCCTCCTCCTCCTCCTCCTCCTCCTCCTCCTCCTCCTCCTCCTCCTCCTCCTCCTCCTCTCCTCCTCCTCCTCCCTCCTCCCTCCTCCTCCTCCTCCTCCCTCCTCCTCCTCCCTCCCCTCCTCCCTCCTCCTCCCACTCGAGACCCGGGGCCCCGAGGGCAGGGACGGGCCTCTGGGCCGAGCCTGCGGCGTCCGGGGCCTCCCTGCCCCAGAGGCCCTCCGTGTCTCCCGCTCCGGGGCGCCGACTGCTCCCCTCGAGGGGCCGCCCCCCGGGGAGGCCGCAAAGGGTCGTCGGCCCGGGCCTGCCTCGTGGCTCTCTCGGGGCCGACGTGTTGGCCTCGGCCTGGCCCGCCGGATGCTAGAGAACAGGAGTCACCACCCACCAAACCACCCCAACCCAACCCGAAGGGTCAGATTTACCTTCGATTTCTAGTGGGGGGGGGGTCCGGGAACATCGAAAAAACACGTATGGAGCCCATACCCCCCCCAACCCGAAATTCGGGTCTTCGGGTTGGGTTGGGGTGGTTTGGTAGGTAGTCAAGGAGGGCCCGTAGCCGTGATGACGCGACGAAGACGTGGCCCCACTGAGGTCCCCGTAAAGCATCTGGCTGGTTTGGATCGGCACGTCTGCAGAGGGGACCCCCCTGTCCTGACTTGGGTCCCCTCCACACGGGCTAGGGGCCCTCCTTTTTTTTTTTGGTTCCTCATCCAGAGGCCCGTGGCCGGGCCCGAGGACAGTCGAGCACGATCGTCTGCGCGAGCGAGATGGGCACGGAAAGAATGGGTACAATGCTCAACGGCAGTTCCTGTTCATTTTGAACAGGATTCGCTGTCCGCGCCGCCGCGGACTTGTCCATTTGAGGCAGAAGGCCGCCTGCCCAACAGCGGCCGCTGTTGGTTTGGGACAACATTTGGTGTTGGGCATTGTACACATTTTTTCCGTACCCATTTCGGGCGTCCAATGGCTTTGCCCGAACGGATGGTCAAGAGCGCTCGCAGCTGATAACCTGGATGCGCGGGTATTCGACGTAGACGACTCAGAGAAGCCGTGTGGCCAGTGCATGGCGACCATCTCTCCGCGCATTTCTGACAATGCCACGTTCTGGCGGTGCCTGATGGCTCCCTGGCGACTGGTTTCCGTCCCCGATGGGATGACACTCACCAGATTTTGCAGATTGCCGTGTCCGATACACCCGTCCCGACAGTGTCGTGGACTGTGGTGTTCGACCGGCGTTTCGGAGGGATCTGGATCACTCCATTGCAGGATTTTGGCTGCAATGGTCATGGTAAGCACAAAGAAGAGTCATCATGTTTGGGGACCTGGGCGACCAGCTTGCTTCGCGCGCCTTCAAGCGCAAGATGATTCACCCCCCCTGGGAGGACGGATATCTTGTTTGCTCGAGAGCGTGCCGCAATCGTCAGAGTGTGGTCAGCTCTTGTCCCCAGGAGGCGGTCGGGAGGTCCAGGGGCCGCGCTCCGGGGCCCTCCGGGGCGCCTCGAGGGCCACTCTCCTGCAACCCTCGACCGCCCTGCGGTCTCCTTGCCCTCCGTGGCCGTCCGCCCGAGGAGGGCTGGGTCGGCCCTCGGCCCTGGCAACTCCTTGGCGCAGGAACTGGTCCAAGCGGGCCTCGTCTGGCCCGCGTCGGGCTCCTCCTGTTGGCTCTGCCTCGGCGGCGGCGGCGGCGCGGGCGGCGGCTTGGTGGCAGCGACTGCGGCGGCCGCGGGCTCGGCGGCGGCGGGCTCGGCGGAGCCGCGGCCACCGGGTCGGCACGACCAGCCCGTGGAAAGGAGAGGGGGCGTGCGCCGGGAGGAGTGCAAGGGCCCAGGGCAGGTGACGCTTGCAGTGCCCTCCCCTCCCCCTCCCCCTTCCTGCCCTTCCTGCTCCTCCTCCGTCGCCTTCTCCTCCTCCTCCTCTGGGCACCCGGAGGATATCCCGAAGGCTGGAGGATATCCAGCAGGCGCGCTGCTCGGCCGGTGTCCCCCCCCCTCCTGCCCACAGATGGGGAAGGAGCATGGGGAGGGGGAGGGGCAACAGGGAGGAAGAGGTGGAGGGGGGGGGGATGCGAGAGAGGAGTTGAGCTGGGGGATGAGGGACGGGGGAGAGCAGCAGGAGAGCAGGGCGAGAGGGGGAGCAGCTAGGAAGAGAAGGAATATCAGGTGCACAGCGAGGAGAAGGGAACAGGAGCATGGGGGATGAGGAGAAGCAGCTGGGGAAGGAGGAGCAGGAGGGTGGGAGGGAGAGTAGTGGGGGATGGCGGTGTGGACGACATCGTGCCAGGATGTGGTGAGCGTTCGGGCCGAATGGCAATCTCAGAAAGGAGCCAGCCCTGCGACAGCTTGAGGGATCCACGAACTCGGTAAGGAGCTGGAGTCAAACCTTCTTCCGACGCGCGTGCGACACTTTCCATTTGCTTGTCAGCAACCGCTACCGCCTGCACGTCCTGCTTATCCTCCTCCTCCTGCTCCTCCTGCTCCTCCTCCTCCTTCTCCTCCTTCTCCTCGTTCTCCCC